CCAAATCTCGCAGATCTTCGATTCGTCCAGCATCAGTACCTTGGATAGCGTGGCACGCCGTTGCGAATCCTTTTTCAAACGATAAAATCCATCCGTTTCGCTCGTATCACTAATACTTGTACGTAGCGATGGCGTCTGTGGTTCGATCTCTGGCGATAGCAGATAGCCAGAAGAATTGCGACGTTCAATAATGAAATTCTGTGTATTACTTTCATTATCCACCGAGGCAGTGCCAAGCGGGGCGCTAAAAGATTATACGAAAAGTGAATAGAAGGCATATTGAAGCACATTGCTAGTACTTACTCCAATTCGGGCGTGGTGGGTGTATTCGATGTGGTATGGTAGGTCAAAGGCGGATTTGATTTGTGCACCAAGCGATCCGCCGGCACAGAGATGCTGCGTCCGAACTCTGAAGTATTAATGGGCAAAGCAGGTCGCATCTTGCGCGGTTTACTATGAGTTAAAACAAAGCACTGTTAATAGCTGAGCAATGACAATCTTCAACTATGACTTATTTACTCTGTGAGAAACGGATCGTCGAGCAGCTCCAGCGCAGAAGGCCTATCCTGAACGCTAATGGCAAAGCAGCGCAGTATGAAGTTCTTGGCATTTGTGGACATTTCCTCCGGTATGTTGGGATGCTTCTTATAGAAGCCCACTTTGAACATGGCTGCTTGTGGATTGCCTAGTTCACTGAAGGGAGGGCTGCCCGTGGCCATCTCAACATTTGTGCAGCCAAATGACCAAATATCTGCGGGCGGTCCATAGCCACGCACACCCTGATCGATGACCTCCGGTGCCATGTACTGTAGGGTGCCTGCAAATGTATCTGTCATGGGGTTGATACGCGCCAAACGCTTCGAAGTGCCAAAGTCGGAGATCTTGACCACGCCACTGTACGTGTTCACGAGCACGTTGTCGCCCTTGATGTCGCGATGCACGATGTCTTGCTCGTGCAGATACTTGAGTCCCTGCAGTATCTGCTTGGAGTAGAAGGCCATGGTGGACTCGTTATCCTTGAGCGGACCCCACTTGGTCTTTAGCAAATCGGATAGCGAACCACCAGGCACCTGCTCCATGAAGATCTTGAAGAAGCCATCCTCCGATCGCGACCCTAAATACTGTACAATATTGCGATGACGCAGCTGCGAGTGCAGCTTGATCTCCTCGTGCAGCGGCTGCACATCCTGCGAGTTCTTCTCCGGCACCTCCTTAATGGCAATACGAACTTGTGTCTGCTTATCGCGCGCCGCATATACCGTTCCATAGGTGCCCTTTCCCAGAGTAATCTTCCGATTCTGTTCATTGTAATCGTACTCGTACTGCAAGTGTTTGATAAGTTAGCACACAGGTTCGTGTTCAGTTCGTGTCAGTTCAATGTAGCTCACCTCGATTTGCGCCTCATCAGTCTCCAGATTTACAAATACCTCCTGGTCCGCAGTCATTTCCAATATGCGATCGTAAAAGCGTTGCCGGCACTCGGTGGACGGAAAGTAGATTTGAAAGTCGTCCGAATTGTGATGCACATAGAGATAAGCGCACAAATCGTCCCTTTTGTACAGACTAACAGACTTGATTTTCGAAGCAACAAACAGAAAGTCGTGCAGCTTCTTGCAGGCATTCTTCGAGTGAGCCACGCAAATGTTTACAATCTGTATGGATTTCTCATCGGCATCCATGTTGATGGTCACATAACTGGGCATATAAATCTTGTTGGGTTCGAGTATCTGCAAAGGAGTAAAGGTTTATTCAAAGGATGAACATTGCAGTTGATCAACTAGAGCACATACCAGTATAGGAAAACGTATGCTATTAATCTCGTTGTCATTTATGGCCTCCAGGAAGAAATCCATCCAGAACTGAAAGGCCTGCTCCTCAATGGGCACCTGTCGATCGTCGGGCTTGCGTCGAAAGCGATGTATTAACGATATGTTGCCAATAGTTGATTTCAGCGACCAAACAGGCGGCCTCAGCTTGAACATACACTCGGCTGCTTGGATGGCTTTGACGTAGTCCTCGGCAAGCACAGATATCTCAAAGAATGTGGCCACGTCCCAGTAGCCGTTGAGCGTCGACAAGCTGCCCTTTTTGCCAATAAGATTGTTCAGTGTCATGCCAATATGCTGTAGTTCGACCGTATTGCTAAATTCCTTGCCTTCGATCACGAGTAGTGTAGCCAAATTGATGCCCGCATATTCATTTGGCTGCACTTCGAAGCTCTGGCGATACCACTTGATGGCATTTTCCAAGCTCGTCCTATCCGTACAGTCCGACTCCACAAACATATCCTTGTAGATGCGTCCGCAGAGGCACAACATGTCCGGGAAGTGATTCTCCTTCTTCTCGAGTGCTTTGAGTGATGATTCCAGTGCTTTCTCTCGATCTCCTGGTCGATTGCGTCGATTCAATGCGAATGCATACAAGAAACTCATATTTCCTGTGTCCACATATTTGCGCGTATTTGGTATGTTCTTCAAATCATTCACCAGACGCACCATCGCATCATAATCCTGCACATCCCGCAGGGAGCACATAAAACTGTGCAATACCTCGCCAGAGAGAACGTGGGGATCGTCCAGGCGTTTACGCATCTAAATATAACGCCAAATCAATTGAGTAATCATTTCTCTAGACATGCATATGTAAACATGGGTATGTCCGTTTAACTTACCCCATGTAGAATGCTCTTCAGCTTATCGTCGCTGGGCGCGTAGGCATCACGCGCCGCTCGCATGTCACTGAGAAACTTTTCCCGCATATGGGCCCTGCATTGGGGAGAAAGAGTTCATGTAAATAAAAGGCAGCGATTTCAATGAAATGATGAGTGTGTTGCAAGTACGGACTTTGATTGTATTTCAACATCTTGCAGCTTGCGCTTCAGCCGCGCCTGTAATGTAGTTGGCACACGCCCATCAGTAGGTTGCTCCTTGGTGCTGGCCTGGTTTGTTAGATTGCAGGTGTTGGTCTCAGCGTTACGCTTATAGCTGAGAAACAGGTAGTTGGCACAAGAGAGCTGTAAAGCAAAGTTAGGGTATTAGAGAGCTGGATATATTTTATTGGGCGCCACTGTGATGCGGCGATGTGATGCATAACATTTTTTGACAGATTCATATTTAAGGACAGCACCGTAAGAAGTGCAAGCTCGCAACAAACATTATTAGAGATAGACAGGTTTCAGTGGACAGCACTGTTTGTATAGGCAGTACATATGCTATGTTTGTAAAGAAATGTTTTTCAGCGGAACCAGACACATGTATTTTTGGACTAAACAGTTTGTATGAAGTCAAATCTGTTTTGTGGACGGTATAAAGTCAAAACAAATAAATTCCTCACAAACATTCTTTAAGCTAGACATGTTATTACGTACGCTACTATTAGTGCAAGCAAGCACAGCGTTTGTTTATTGTGAGCATGCTTATGTGTGTGCGTCTGTGTTACGTTGTTTGTGTGTGAGCGGCGTGCGTGTTGTTTTGAGTTTTGCGTTGGCGTCCGTTCAGCTTTTGTTGTTGCTCTTGTTGTTATTTCTTTTATTGTTTTAGCGCTTCGTGCTGCAGCGGCCAAAAACAAAAATAACAACTATTTCTTGTTTCACAGAACGGAAGCACAGCAAAAACTAACAGCAACAAACACGAGTGCTTGCTGCGTCTGATGTTTAAAAAAATAAAATCAAAGTAGAAAAAAAATTATTGCTCTGTCATTTATCTTATCGGCAGAACAGGGCCGATTATGCTGTGTTTTTGTTCTTGCTTTGCATTTGCTGTTTTTTCTTTTAATTTTTTTTTTTTTTTTTTTTTTTTTTTTGTTTTTTTGTTTTTTTTTTTTTTTTTTTTTTTTTTTTTTTTTTTTTTACTGTCAACATCTTTGCGAATCTAACCGCCTGCACAACTGTTTGTCTACCCACCTTTAGGCTGAGCGTCTGTTTGGACTCCAAATCGTTGTAGATTAAAATGTTCTCCTTCATGCCAAAGCTTTCGCGGACTCCATAGTGATAGGAGAGGGGACGCTGTTGGGTTAATATGCTCAAGTCAATGACGGCTACATCGGCATTATAGAATGTTTCCAGCACATTCGTCTCGCCAAAATCCAACCGCTCGAACTGCAGAGACCGAACATTTTCAATTATTATTGTATAACATTTGGTGTCTTTAGTTTTTTCTTTTCTATTATTATTATTATTGTTGTTGTATTTTTATTTGAACCGCCAACGCACCTGCACACGCTGAAAGTTCGCACCAGCCGATTGTACAGCTTGTTTGACCTCCTCTAGGGCGCAGAGGCGATCCTCTAAATGATCGCCAACAATGGTGTCAATTACACAAACAACATCCATAGCTGCTGTCGCTGTGTTGGCCTATTGGGCTATTCCTGGCGCAGCGCCTATTGAAAGTTGTTGCGGATGGGAGGTTGATGGAGGGGTATACGTGAAACGCAACAGAGCTAGTACGTTGTTGCTAACGTACGCTGGGTTTGTTGCAAATTGTAAACAGCTTCATTACCACACACTTGCTTAAATTACACAGTGCTAAATGTTTTATAACGTATTACTACCGAACAAAACGAAATTTTGTTAAAATGTGCGCAGACTGTATGTTGACGCCGCTGTAAAATAGCTGACAGTGTGACCAGGTGTTGCGCGTGTGGAAATACTTTATTTTAGCGTGAGTAAAATAAATTTAACAGAGCGTAATAACAGCACAATTGGCCCGCTCTACGGTATAGTTAAACAGCAAAAGATTTAAAATAACTTCAGTTTGGACATTGTTTAGAAAAATTAACTAAGTCATAGCTGTTGAGTTTACTTCGACTATCATATATATATATGTGAAAATATATTAATTTTAGATAGTAAATTTACGTGGCCATTAAGCATTGCCAATGAATTTAATTTTACTTTACCCACATCACACCTGTTGCATGCCTAAATGTATTTAAAATAGGGTATCTTTTAGTCTGTTTAAGACTTTATTGCATTATGACTTTTTACTTAAAAATAGTTGTTATAAATGCGAGCTGGCATTATATAATTAACTAGCGTATTCCTTGAGTATTGATCCCGCCACAACAAGTCGTTGAATCTCCGAGGTTCCCTCGTAGATTTCGGTAATGCGAGCATCTCGATAATGGCGTTCGGCTGCCATGTCGGTTACATAACCCATACCGCCCAAGACCTGGATGCACTGATGAGCACACAGTGTAGCCGCCTCGGAGGCAGCCAGTTTGGCCATTGCAGCTTCCTTCGTATAGGGCAACTTGTTGTCCTTCAGCCAGGCAGCGCGCCAGGTTAGTAGACGGGCCGACTCCACAGCCAGCGACATATCCGCAATCTTCTGCTGTATGGCCTGTAGCTTAGATATGGGCTTGCCGAAGGCCTGACGCTTCTGCGCATAGTCAACGGCCAATTCCAGGGAGGCCTGCGCAATGCCCAGCGCCTGGCTAGCGATGCCAATGCGCCCGGCATCCAGAGTCTGCATCGCAATCTTAAAGCCAAGGCCCGTTCCGCCGAGCAGGTTCTCCTTGGGTATTTCACAGTCCTCGAATATGAGCTGGCAAGTGGAGGAGCCGCGTATTCCCAGTTTGTCCTCCTTCTTACCTAGCGAAAATCCCTTGGTTCCCTTATCTACTATAAATGCGGAGATGCCCTTGTGCTTCAGTTGCTTGTTGGTGGTGGCAAAGACTACAGCTGCCTCCGCCTCGAAGGCATTCGTTATCCATGCTTTCGTGCCGTTTAGCACATAGCGATCGCCTTTCTCCGTGGCCACGGTGGAAGCAGCGCCAGCATCCGAGCCATTGCCAGGCTCGGACAGAGCAAAGCAACCCACACGTTCGCCTGTTGTGTAAGGCGTGATGTAGGCAGCCTTCTGAGCATCATTTCCAAAGCCCAGCAGTGGGCCCAAATACAGAGAATTATTGACGGACATTATCACGCCCGCTGAGGCGCAGCCACGTGAGATCTCCTCCATGGCAATGGCATAGGCCAGATAATCCAAGCCGGTGCCGCCAAGTTCCTCGGGCACAGAGACGGCCATGAGGCCCAGTTCGCCCATTTTTTTAATCTGTTCCCCTGGATAAAGATGTTCACGATCGAACTTTGCGGCATTTTCACCCACCAGCTCTGAGTTGGCAAAGTCACGGCATGTTTTCTGCAGCATCTGATGCGTATCTGGTAGCGCAGCGAGCGAGGCAATTCCTCTTCTATGCAACGTCTGACGGGCTGATAAGGTGTTAAGGATGGTCGAGTATACATATCAACAAGTCAAAGTCCAGTGGAAACGTTAACTTACCAACACTCAGACTGCTCCTTAATATGGACTGCATTTTGTTAAAAATAAATTTTAAATATACTTTTTCCTTAATTATTTAACAACTTGGCAGCCGTGCTTAAGCAATTATTATGTTGTAAATTAAGCCGCTTATTAAAAAATACGGATTCGATATGCATTCTTGAGTCTATCGATATTTGATGTACAAAAACGGCGGTCGCGTATTGCATTAACATAGTGTTATGCGTACGTTACTTACAGCGCGGGAAATGTTAAAGTTTAAATTAAACTGTATGATATTTCAATTTATAATCAACAATTTTTTATTTAAAACTCGTTTCTTGTATAGAAAACCCATATTTTGTATAAAAGCCGTATCCGAATCTGTTAAATTTCAGCTTTGCAAGGATATCAATTAACATATAAGTTATCGTAAGGAGTACGCCTGCGCCGCTGAAAATCAGAGAAGAAGCAGACCAAGTTTCGAGCTCGCACAAACTTGTTTAACGTTTTTTTTTATTGCACAATTACATTTAATTCTATAAAAATACGCACATAGGGCACCATTTATTTGAAAGCGACAATAAGAATTAGTGTTTATAAGTGAATTGCACGTATTTCGATTGGCACTATAATTGTTTATTGATTTGCAGTCAAGTTTTGTGTTTTTTTTTCTACCTACATCCTTTGTCAATTTTATTTATTTTTTCTTTGTATGTTTATGTTTTGCTAATTTATTTGCGAGGCTACAAACTGCTTCATCGTGACTCAGCTGGTAAGATGTCAAACTATATTATTATTGAATTATATATAGACATTAAAAAAAAGTTGTGACCACAAACAAGTGAAGTTTGTTTATTTACAAAGGCAAACAAAGTAGGCATAAGCAGAAATCGAGCTTCTGCTCTTGCTTCTGCTTATGCTTCTGACAAGCCTCTGATATGCGGTAAAACTGGTGCAGCTGCAGCCTTCGGCTATAGTTAGAATTATCAGCGTTTTAGATAACGTTTAAATTTCATTCAGAATTTGTTAGTCCGGCAAACGCTTATCAAATCTCTACTCGATCACAAAACAAAAGCGAAGTCGAACGCTGATAACAGCATTGAGTTACCGCCTTAATCACTCACTCTGTGGCTATAAAAGTGCCTCTTATATCTGGCCAAGAGCTCAGTTACAGATCAACTGCCTGTCGGAGTTCCAGTGCCACTTTGTGAGTTCAACACGTTTCGTCCTTGTGTCAGCTGTTCAATATCAATACATATACTATATACGATCTGATAATATTTGTGATTGTGAAAATATATGATCTTAAATACATTAGAAAGTGTCATAAATAAATAAAAACGGTGTACAAAGTGGATTAAGAACTGATATATTATACACTATAAACAAAATCAACTGACATCACACCTATGGGAATATCTAGAAAGTGTTCTGAAATTAATTTGATAACTGAATTGCATAACTATTATTATATAAGAAGTTAAGAAATTGTATTTTCCCAACCATAATGAAATAAAACAAATCTTATAATTTTTCAAATCATATAACTTATGATTTATTATTGCCAACTCAGCATGATTAACGTTATTCGCTAGACGTTTTCGAATCGCATATCTATAAATTGAGCATGGTTCAGATTCCTTCAATTCCAGATAAGATTTAATGCTGCCTTTTGATATGGATTCCAGCATATACAATGTGCTCATACAAATTAAAGCAGATTTTTATCAGCAAATAGTACTATAATTTTGTTTTTGTTTGATGAGTATTTTTGATTTTTATACGTCAAATTAACAGTTATCATATTTATCATCTATATTATAGCGGCGCTTGTGGCTGTCAGATAGAGCACACACGAACACACACCCACACACGAACACTTGCACCACAAATGACAAGCTATTGAGATATTGACATCGAACCGGATTGACAATAATTTGAGATCAAAATGCAGTCCGTCACCGCAGATGAGCTGCCGGAGAATCCGCGCGAGAGATCGAATCCGCTGTCCTCGCTAATGTTTTGGTGAGTTCTAGAGATATATAAATATAAATTATATAATATTTAGCTCGTTAACTAATTTCTTTTTCATTTATCCATAGCTATACCATGCCGACATTTTTCAAGGGACGCAAAAAGACGCTCGACGAAGGCGATCTCTACAGGGCCCTAAAGGAACACAAGTCAGGTAAATATATAAAATACATGAATCATTTATTTCACCTTAACTGACTTTTCCAAAGTTTATAAATAATCGCGAATTAAAAAACTGAATCAGCGTAGAAAGAAATCAAATTGAAAAAAAAAATCTTATCAATAATCAAAAATTAGCACTTGACATTTAATTTAAATGAATGTTTAATTGAAGCAGTAAATGCATTCCAAAAATACAAAATTAATTCAATGATTCGGTCTTTTAACTTTTTCATAAAGCAGCAAGAAATGCTAGCTATAAATAGAGCAGTTTTGTTCAATTACTTTTAAACAAACTTTTGTTTAGATAAAAGTTAAAAAGAGTTTATATAAATTTAGACTCTAGTTCAAATAATTTCTTAATAAAATTTATCGCATTTATATAGATTTCGGGTATATATAAAATTGATATCTGTTATGTAGATTATATAAATATTTTATATTTATAATTAGATTATATAAACTCGCTTCTATGTATTATCTATGAGCTCTATATAAACTAGGCTAAAATTATTATCTATGCAAATGAGTGCATTATGTAGATACAACTCTTATCTATTTAGAAAACTCGACTTGCTTCGTTTATGTAGATTTGACTTTCTTACATCATTACCAAATGGCTAAAAAATAAACCAATTTCTTTCGGTTTTTTTTTTTTATATTTATTTTTTATTTTTTGAACAAAAGTGTGGTATGACAAATCTTACACAGTGTATTATCTATGGAAATATCAACTCTTCAGACATATTTTACGTGTGCTTTCGAGTGGCTAAATGCGGCACAACCACGCACTGGAACGCCACTTAAAAGTATAGCAGCTTGTTGTTGTATTTTGTTTGGTTTTACGATTAGATAGAATAGAGCATGTGAACAGGAAGCCTGTCTGATGGATAAGCAGTCCATTTTTAGCTTGAGACATTTGGCGTGGTCTTTGCCATGCATAGGATCAGAGCTAACCATTGCATGCCAGATACATGGACATATATTATCGGAAGCGATTCCTCATAAGTCATATGCAAAGTCATCGCCAGATAAGATTTCTGACAATTGACGCCTATAAAATATTCTATAATATGCAATAGGTTTAAAGTTTATCACGCTTATCAGTGGGAACTAGTTAATCATGGAAATTGAACTTTGATTTTTATGGAACCATTAATAAAAATAATAAAAATCAGTAGCTGTTAGTGCCAAAAAAGTTGAGCTCTGATAACTTTTTGATAACTTTGACAAGCGGGCATTGCCGCAATTAATGAGCTCTCGCCCAATTTGACCGCTCCATGATATATGAGATATACGAGAATATCTCGCGCGCTCATTAGCCCCAAAATAAATGTGCCTATAGAGACACCAACGGCTGACATTAAGTGGGCAAGCGTCCAATCTAATCTGGCATGCGTCTTTAGTAAATATTTATATAGGTAAACATTGGCATATAGCTAATTCTCGACTTTTTTTCCATTTATCAAATACTTTGGTCTAGTATGTTTAGTATATAGAGTCTTGGGCCCACTTTAGATTGGCAAGAAAGCAGTGCGGAAGTGTCTCGGACTTATTATATACTGTATACATGTATATATGTATATATGTACATATATATGTGTTATAGCATATAGTTAGGGGCCTGAGCGGCAGCACATGCGTCCAGCTTTGACCAGGCGCGATTAGCCAGTTAGCTGATAAGAGATAAGCCCACGAGACAGCTGACTGCGATAGGGTTTTTTTCTTTTTGCTATAAGGCCATAATTCACATAGACAATGGAGTCGCTAAGCTTGATATACCTATTTATGGGCGATAAAAATCATGGACTTGCATCGTAAAACCTTGACTCAACATTCTTGCTACTGAAATCAGTTATAGCTAATTCATCAGAACACTATAAAGGGTAATAGAAGTACATAGTATAAATAAGGAAAAACATAATCTAAGCATAACTGCAGAATGCTCTAAATGATATACAAAATTGATTAAGTACTTATATTGAATATATAAATTGTATAACTATCATGTCTACAAAACTAGAGAATGGCAAGGTTTCCATTCGAGTTAAAATACGCAAAACTTTATTACAATGTACTTTTAACTGAAATAATTATGCGCCCATATATTCCACTCAGCTTTCAAGACATCTTTATAGTAATTGCCTGAACATTTTTATCTTTCAGATACACTTGGCAAGAAGCTGAGCAAGGCATGGGAGAAGGAGGTAGAGGAGAAGCGTAAGAAGAAGAAGGAGCCCAGCTTGTTCAAGGCAACGATGAGCGTCTTCGGCTTGAACTTTGGCTTACTCGGTTTGGTTTTGTTTATAGTGGAAATGGGTTTCCGGTAAGCGCCACACCTCCCTCACCCCTTGCTATATATATTTCGTTATTTATGATCATAATTATGGTGCTTAATCCTTGACAGCGTGACGCAGCCTCTGTGCCTGGGCGGCTTGGTGGCCTACTATTCGGATGCCAACAACCTGGAAAACGACGATCAGACCACAGCATACCTGTACGCCGTCGGCGTAATCTTGTGCAGCGCCTTCAATGTATTATTCATGCATCCCTATATGCTGGGCATGTTCCACACGGGCATGAAGGTGCGCGTCGCCATGTGCAGCATGATTTATCGCAAGGCGTTGCGACTCAGTCGCACAGCACTGGGCGATACAACAACCGGCCAGGTGGTTAATCTCATATCGAATGATGTCGGTCGTCTGGATGTCTCCGTGATACACACGCATTATTTATGGCTGGGCCCAGTGGAGATCGCTGTGGTCACCTGGCTCATGTACCGAGAGGTAAGCAAAGTCCCAGACAGTTTGATGGACTGTTAACTGATATACAAATTAAATATACTTTGCATTAAAAACAGTAGAAATTTGCTGAGTTAATCATCGCGTTTACCGTATCATAATCATTATATTTGCGTACTCCTCCACAGATTGGCGTTTCAGCATTCTTTGGCGTGG